GAAAAGCCAGTTCTTTTGAGCAGTGCTTTGATCACTTGGCCTTTAAATCTCTCTGGAAAGGACAGATGAGGCCTTAGTCTTTGGTGAGGTGTATGCCTGCTTTCCTTTATTTATCTTTGCAACTTTTTCTGAACAGTATTCTACCAGCAGCATTAAGCTTTGGGCAGCAGTTTGACGTTTTCAAGGCTCAGGAAAACTTCTGGATCTATTAAAGTTCCTTTCCTATCTGACAGCCTCCTATATCTCTTGATATATAGCTATGGCTTGTATAGACTGCTCGTTCTTGTTCACATGGACCAAATGACTTAATTCTGTGTCTAATGCCCTGCTTTCTGCAGGATCCTTTTCACTGAAGTACTTTTCACTGAAAAGTACTCTCCTGAGTACTTTTTTTCAGTTCCTCTACTGAAAAGTAGACTCTCCTTCAGCTCAGATCTAGAGAAAAGGTGCTTTTTTTCTACATTCCTTTGCAGAAGAGGTACCTGGGCCAAAGATTTTCGTTCTTTCCTTCCTTGCAGAACCCATTTTCAAGAAAAAAGGTGCCTTGTTTTCACCAAGTAGCTCAGCACTTTCATTTATCATTTTTAGTGGCAGATGGTGTCCTATCTACAATCCTTGGTAGGTTACAAATTGCATATCAACGTACCAGAACAGTTGTCTTATTCATCCAGTTATGCATAACTTCCTCCTGACATTTGGGCAGTTTTATTCAGTTTTTTTTTAAAAAAAGTTGGCCGATAATATTTAAATACATGTTATGTAAACAGATGGAGGCAAAATATTGCCTTTACTAGGGCGCAGTAGCTGTTCAGAATAACTTCAGGGAATTGTTTATAATGTTACAACACCATAGTAGCTTTATACTTGTCTAGGATTTAAGGGACCTTGGAATATGAGCGGAAAACTGGCTTGCGTGAGTGATCCTTTAAAAATGAAGTTCTTTTAAATAAGCTTCCAAAAAGCAGGATTGCTTCTTCTATAGGCTTATTTGTAGACAACATGGAGTCCAATGCTTCTGCTTCATTGGACAGCAAAACTCTAGGTTTCCATAGTTTAGCTTATCTCTGAAGGTTTTTTGCAAGATCAGCTAATTCCTGTCATGTAATTATGTCTCACTAGCTTTATTCAGAAAGGGTGTGACATCCAGTTTTTGCACTCAGTATTTACATGTGTTTGTTTCTGTGACTGCTATAAGCTGCTGTTCGTTCCAGATGGAGCATAAAAGGGAAGCCTAATACTGAAAAAAACTAGGGTCTGTAATTAGATCATTAGTTTCTCTACCTGATTTGGGATTTAAATGGTGCAGATCAGGCAAGCTCAGAATTTTCTCACTTGAAACATCTGCCTATCAACAGTGCTTGTAAACCAAATGGAAGCACTTCCTGGGAGGGACTACTCTGCGTGATCTACAGAAACCACCTATACTGGTTACTATTGGGTGTCTTGGACAGCTGTGTTAGCAATTTACTTGAAAAATGTTTGCCTACCCATCTTATAGGACAGGTTTATTTGTTCTGACAATCTCATCTGTCTGAGTTGCCACTCTGTGCAGCCCTAAAGGTTAGTAAGAAGCTGAAGAAAATCAAAGCATTGCTGGCAAGATTACCATGGATCACATTCCTTGTGAATAAGTGCTGTATGTTCTTTCAGGTTTTTTTAAGGTTTGTGGACTTATTTAAACGGGTTGTTTTTATTTATTAGTATGCTTTCCAAGACCTTATTCATATCCTTGAATACACTCCATATTCTGATCCTCTTTAAAACTCCCTTACTACTTCAGTAGGACAAAGCTGTTCATCAAAATTTCATGCTATCTTGAAGACAGGTTGAGAGAGGAAAAGCTGTTCCAGTGCAGAGATCTGAAAATCAGTTCAGAGTGTATGACTGTTATAAACTAAACTAACGTTATCCTTTTCTAAATAAGGCTCATATGCAGTCAAGCTGCCTGTAGGAAGAATATTTTAAGACTTACTGCTATAGAAATATACAGTTCTGTGTATCTGCTACCTGGAACTACACATCTCTCATGATTTCTTGTGTTAGCCTGTAGACTGAAAGTTTATTAAGCGGCATTGTTACAGTTGTCCTGTGATAAAATGTTTCTGACACGTGAAAGATGAGGCAATTGGAAAACTATGATCTATGCAATATAATTAGTATTCAGGAAGTATACTGAATCTGAAAATATTTTTATTTAATTATCTGCTCAACAATTTGATATTTGAAGTAAGTCTTAGGATCACTTTTTAAAAGTAGAATTTAACTGCCTCCTCATCCTGTGGAGTTGTCATATTGTTACAGAAAAGTCATAAATGATTATATATAACTCAAATTCTATTTTAAGGCTTAACTCTTAGAAAGGACAAATTTTGTAGGTGTTTAATTGTTCTGTTAACTAGCGCTTTGTAACTATTTATGTCAGATTTCTCCAGAGGCCTGCTTGGAAACACATTCATAGTTCCTCAATTTTAATGTTATAGTTTAGATAGTTGTCTTCTAGGTACTAAGCTGTGTGTGTTATTGTAGGAGCTTCAATAGCTCATATTTTCTGCAAAGGAAATGCACGGTCCAGTGCATATTAACAGAATGTCAGCAGCCGTGGTATTAGCAGCAGAATGGCATGGGATATCACAGAGGAATTGTATCAAAACTTAGTAACTTCCAACTTGTGCTTAACGTTTACGTGTTCTTACCAACATACTTTATTGAAAGATGAGCTGAGCTCTGTGTTTTCACTGTCGAACAGGGTACTTGGACTGTTACAACCTTACACTACATTTGAAATTCTAACACCTTAAAACATTTCGTGATAGCTTTACCAATGTGGCAACGCCATCTTCAAAAATGCTGGCTTATTAATGGCTTTAGAATATGATAAGAAGAAATGGTTTTCTGTAGTCTTCATTTGTTTAATGTATATCACTAATTAGGGTAAACAAAGAAAAATGAGCCATAGACCAGTACATTAGGTTGAATAACAGCCATGCATTTAGATTATATGGTCTTATGGATCTGCTATCCAAACTCCTTAGGAAAACTTTGAGTGTTTTATTGTGATTTTTATTGCATTTGTAATTCTGAAAACTAAAATTTTATATTTATCAGCAGAATTGTTACAGCATGATTTGTAGTTCCGTGACTTTTTCTGTCATGTTTTATGAGCATTTAGGTGCTTTTTTTTGAGAAGATGTTCTGTCAGTCACTGTTCATGGTGCCTGTGCATTTTAGTCAGTGTTCTTTGTCTTTATATCCCTATTGTAGAGTACTGTCCTGGTATTTACTCCTTTTACCGGCCATGTTTAGGAATCACTTATAATCTGTGTAAAATACAGCTTTCAGTATATTTTGAAAAATTATACATTTACACAGTTGCTTACTTGCTGCAAAATAAGTTTGTTGTAAGTGATTGGTTGTGTAGTCATGTCTTCAGGCAGTCTTGAGGCAGTGAGCAAAGCTGGAAGTGAATGCAAAATCTGTCTGGATGGTGTTCCTTGGATATAACCAGATGGAGTTATCACTACTTATCAAGCATCTATTATGAATTATCAAGTATATCGTTTATGAACCATGGCAAGAAAAATAAGTCAGCAGTCTTCTGAGAGGAATGTTTAAAAGCTATATGTTGATTTGAGTATTTATGAATTACAAAAAATCCTTGAAGGGAAAAGGTTGAGCTCCGAATGGAACCTACAGGGAGGAAATTGCAATTCAGAACATGCATGTCTCCAAATAAGAAATATGGAGCCGCTGTGTGGAGATAAGTTAGTAAGAGTATTTTGCCACAGGATAGAATAGAAACTGAGAGAACTGTATGCATGCCATAACAGCATGTACACTTTAGTTTTAATCTTATGTAGTAATTGGACATGGGTTTTATTTCTTTAAATATAAACTGTGGATTTTGTAAACTTTACAGATAGTATGGTAGTATTCCTCTTGCTTTTAACTTACAGTTTTGCCTAGCATTATGTGCGATACGAAAGTGCTTGATAGGCAGCTACTATTTTATTTTTCCAGAAACGGTCTCTTTTTAAGAGGCACTTCAAGAGTGAACAATACCAGCAGCCAAAGACAGGACTGGTGTGTATTTATTGAAATGTAAGAATGTTCAGGATGCGGTTAACTGGTTTAGAAAATGGTAATACAGAGTGTCCGTTCGGAAGGAGGCTGGAGTTAGGTTACTAGGGAAAATGTCTGGATGCGGCAGGGTATGCTCAAGTTTTTAAAGAGCAACTCTTTTGCTGTCCGTCAGTCTTCTCTAGTGTAGGAGGATGTACATTATTTTAGTTGTTTTTCTGAAGAAATTAATACGTGGTGTAGCATTTAGGACAAGCAAATAGAGTAAGCTTTGTGAAATTAAATACCTAGCTTTGTAGAGAAAAACCAGATGAACGGAGTCAAGACTGCATGTTAAGATACAGTGGTCTCCTGTTCCTATAGAATAAAAGAGTACGATGATTAAGAAATGATTTATCTTCAAAAGGAATGACCATTGTTTTAGAAGACACTTTTTTATGGTTCTCATAATAGTCTCCCAAGTATATGGGAAGGAAAAGGGAGAAAATGGAAATTAATGCTGATAGATGAGTGAATGTGTACTTTTTTTCTCCTTCCTCAAATGGACCAGCAAGTGTCTTCACAAGCAAACTTATTTGAAAATATTGTAGAAGTGTCATGAGTCTTGTGCATTTATTGTAGGTTTGCATACACCAGTGACCCTCAAAAACACTGCTGGTGGTCTAAAGTTAGGTCTAAATGCATTAGAAAAAAATAGGTATGTTAATCAACTATTTAGAATAAGTAAATGTAAGTTCAGTATTAGTATAGCTGCTTACTTACTGATGCCTGCTAGATTTTTAAAAATTGAGACAAATGAAAATACAACCACTTGAATATTTATAAGCAGACTTCACAAAACTTAGTTTGTGACTGCTTTTTTGGGGGAGGGGGGTAAACATCAGTGTAGCTATTGCCATTTTAAAGTATCTGTTAACTTCTAGAGCTATGAAGACGAGAGGAGGATTCGGTCAGATCTTGAGGTTAGATGTCAGCGTTTAACACTGGAACTGGCTGATACAAAGCAGATGATTCAGCAAGGTGATTACAGACAAGAGAACTATGATAAAGTAAAATGGTAGGTATCTCTATAGTTCAAGTACATACAGGTGTTAACAGAAAAAAAATCTCTAGTTCTGTCAATCAAGGTATAAGCTTCATTTTGTAGTTTTTGGCTCCTGTCCACTACAAACATTTTCCTTACCTGGATCCACTAATAGTGCAGTTATCCAGGACTGATCCTGTGGAAAACCACAGCCATGAGATGGACAACACTGAAATCTGATGTGTGCTTTTATTTTCTTAAAAGCTTATGTTTAGGTACTTACTGTATTTTCAGAGTCTACTAGCCTGGTTGCAACTTAAGTCTGGCATCAACAGGTCCTACTTCTTAGAACAAACGTTGTTTCTCACTAATTTAATAGCTGTCATCTAACAAACAGCCCTGTGCTCTACTGTGTGCTGCCTGCACAGTGACGTAAAAGGGTAGGACCGTGGGAATTAATATTCAGCAACTTAAGATACCTTTGTAAGCATAAGATTGAAAGGGCTGTTACGAGAACCCTTTGTCAGAGAGTCTTAGGTTAACTTCAGTGGCTTGATTCACTTGCCAGAAGTTCCAGCATCTCTCTTCATTTTTTTGAAATGTAAGTTTTAGAATTCTAGCCTAGGACTTGAATGCTGAATCCGTAAACAACAACTGCAAAACAGTGAAAATGGGCTTATAAATACATGCGTACCCACACATTTCACCGTCCAGCTCCCGAATGGCCTTTTTGGTGTGCTTGCAAGTTCAAGAAATCAGGGTTCTGGCAGATTTGTTGGAGAATGGCTCAAAATGAGGATTCTGAATAGAAAGCAGCTTGTCAGCTCCCTAGCTGTTCACATTAAATGAGCTCAAGCACATTTATTGGTTTTTGCTATGCCTCTATGTCATTTAAAGGAGAATCTGTCTTTCAGATAACTGTTCACAGTCATATGTACTAAAACAACCTTGAAATCTATCTGGAAGCTTGTTGCGTATAGGATTGACTGACACTCTGACTTGCTTCTGGAGTGCAACTGCATCTAATAAGTGGATTGTAATAGCTTTTCCTTGTGAATGGCCCCAGTGTTTTAACAGTGTGTATTAAAATAGTCTTGAGTTGAAAAAGGCATGAATAAACGTGCCAAAACTATATTTGAGAAAGTAGGTTGTATTCATCAGAGTAGGCATAGATGGAGGGGAGGGGAGAGTGCTATTGGCATGCCTGTATGAACATATTTGGGAGCGTTGCAGGAATTAATCACTTCCAGGTTTGTTTCTAACTAAAACCATGAGTTTAAAAATCCTTTACAAGCTATGTCACATCTTCTAGTTTTGGTAGACTACAAACTAGTTCAGGTTTTTAATGCTATTAATATAAAGCTGGTTAGCTTTCTTTCAAACAGCAAGCTCATCCTGGCTCATTCATTCCACTGTTCTGACATGGTCAGATACAGACATAAAGCTACTGCTTTGTGCACGTGGAAACGCTGTTATTCAAAACACCAACATAGTTTTTGCAGCTGTGTCATGTATCTTAAACACGAGAAGAGTAGCTTAATTCCCTCTGGCATCGAGGGACTGTATATAAGGGAGAGGAGCAATTGAGAACAACTATCCTTTGGTTTGACTAGGAAGATGGGAATACAGTCACTTTACTTTTTCATCCAACTTTTAATGTCTGCAAAAGATTCAAGAAAATGTTGGGGGAAAGAGCATCAAAGCTTACCGAACTGAAAAGGGTGTACAAGGGAATTTATAATCTGTTGCTAAGAGGAGAAATGTATAGCCCAAAGCTGAACTAAAAGAAGAATACTAAGAAAAGGATGCAATAATTTTAGGATTGGAATATAGGATTGTTATATTACAATTTAGGATTATTGCTTAAATACTTTGAAATGAAGAGAATTTTCTCATATAATGACATGCTGTTGCAAGTGATAAGAACTTTAAAAGGTATTATCACTAGTTGCCCTATGAGTAACTAGACAAAAAGGTCAGTGTCGTGAACTAAAAGAAGACTGACTAAATTACAAATGCACAGGAATGTTGCTCATTTCACTCTCTGCAACTAATAGTTTCACTTTATTTTAACAGTGAACGAGATGTATTTGAACATGAGTTGTCAGAACTCAGAAGAAAATGTGAAGTATTGGAGGTGTCTCACAAAGCACAAACTAAAGAAAGAAATGACTTATCAAAAGAGGTAAACTTGAAGTTTTTATTTCAGTAACCATTTAGTTTTTGACCTTAGGAATCTGATTGTTTGCCTAATCAAATCTTTTTGGGATCACCTATAGAGTCAGAAAAATTCAGGTTAAAGGGTCCTCAGGAGGTCATGACACCCCCCTTCCTCCAGCAGAGCCAACTTAGATCAGCTTGCCCAGGCTTTTGTCAAGTTTTGAGCGTCTCCAAGGATGGAGATTCCAAGCTTGTCTGGGCAACCTGTTCCAGTGTTTGACCACCCTCTTTGTGAACAAGTTTTTGTAATATCAGAGTTGTTGCAGCTTGTTTCCCTTGCCTCTTGTCCTGTCGCTATGCGCCTCCAAGGGTCTGGCTCTGTCTTTCTAAATGTTCCAATTAAGTAAGTGAAGACTGCGAAAAGATTCCCCCCACCCCACACCACCCCAACCTTCTCTTCTGAAGGCTGGAAAAAAAAAAAAAAATTAGTTCTCTCAGCCCCTCCTTCACGTTCTCTCAGACCCTCCATCATGTTCTGCAGCACATAATCATCTTGGTGGACCTTTTCTAGACATGCTCCAGTATGTCAATGTCTGTCTTGTGCTGGAGAGCCCAGAAGAGCCCTCAGCCTGTTGTCTATACTGTTGCTTAATGAAGTCTGATAGGCAGCTAGCCTCTTTTGCTGTAAGGGCACACTGGCTCATATTCAACTTGTTAACTCATCTTTGCTTGTCTTTGGACAGTGTCTTGCCAATTTGACCATAAAGTTGTTATAGGAGACTGTTGAAAGCCTAGCAAAAATCCAAATAAATGACATTCACTGTTGAGCGCTTATCCGTGGAGCCAGCCACCTTGTCGAGTTTGTCAGGCACAATTTGGCCTTTAAATCAATCCTGGCTGTTTCCAGTCGTCTTTTTCATGGCTGTGCATGGATATGGCTTCCAGAAAGATTTGCTCCGTAATCTTTACAGGGACTGAGGTCAGACTGACCAGCCTATAGGTGGATCTTTTTTCTTGAAGATGGTTTCCAGTAGTTGGAAACAGCTCCCGATTGCTGTGATCTTTCAAACTGGTTAGCAACCCTGCAATGACGTTTTCCAGCTCTGTCAACATCCGTCAGGTGCTTTCCGTTTTTCCCTAGGTTTATGTACATCGTGTCTTTCTAGGTCTGTATCTCAATCTTCCTCTGTTTCACCCTTCTAAATTCTGCTGCTAGGCTCAGGAACCTAGAAGACTTGAGAGCAGAACTTGCCAGTCAAAGTTGAATGCTATCGTTATGCTCTATCCTCAACAGAGAGCAGAACTAGTTATAATTTACTTTAGCTCTTTTGAGTGGTAATTAGTGACAGTAAGGCAGAGCTACTATATGGATTATATTTTGCTATGTACATTTTTCATAGACATCTGTAGAACATGTAGTTTGTTCTCTTAATAGTTGCTTAACTCTTCCTTCACCTTTCCTTTACAGGGGTTATGTCAGGAATAAAGGCACTGCTATTTAGGACCTCCTCTTTCTATGCTTCCACCCCAGGGCTGCTTGCTTCATAGACAGGAAAGTCTGCTAGGGTGATGGTCTGGCGTTTGTTTGTTTGTTTGTTTTTAGTGTCTCAACTGATCTTTGAAAGTATTTCTACTGGGAAAATGACTAAAAGCCTGTTTAGACACTGAGGATTTCTTTTCTTTTCTTTTCTTTTTCTTGTTGGGTTTCCAATGAGTTCTAATTGCAGTCGGGTCAGTCAGCTTCTTCAGATCTCGATCGTTACCATTTTGCTAGCCCTGGTATTTCACAGGGGAACATAAATCTGCTCTAAAGACCCTCGAAGAGCTGAAGACCTGACGGGTTGAGAGAGAAACGTCCCTATCTGCATGCGCTGTTCACGGATTCATTTATCCAAGAGTTGTGATGGTTCAGTAATGGTCCCCCACCAAGCACATATGATAACTCTAGGCTCAAGGAACTAAGCAGAGAATGTTTCCATATCCATTGCCTTGGTATATAGGACCTTTGATAGTTTATACCAGTGCAAGCTTCCATTTTTCAGTATCTGTTATCACAGCGTCTGCATCTAAGTTGTTCATAGGGAGGATTGTTTCATCGAACCTCCAGAATTGAATTATTCTCTGTAAGTAAGCTAGTTGAGAATGAATCCTCAGGAAGTGTCAGAATCACTAACGGATTTTTTTCTTTGTCTGATGTAGGTGTACTTTTGTAACAGCTTTTTTTTTGGAGGGAGAAAAGGACTTATTAAATCTCTGGAAAGAAACTTCAGTTTCTGTCCTCATTCACTAATTTTCAGATATTTTGTAGCTCTATATCCAATTTACTGGGAAAATAAGACTATTTTTAAGCTGGGTTTATGTATGGAAAATCTTCCTCGAAAGCACCAAAAGGAGTAAAGGAACCTTTGTTGAATCATTCTGTGATTCCGTTTGGCTATTCAGAATTAGTTTTCCTATGGGATCCAGAAGGGACACTGCATGGGGAGATTGGTCTTGACTTCTGTATTGATCCAGGCAAGAATCTAATGAGGGATCTTTGAGCATTAACACTTTGGAATAAGTAAGACCATTCACTCCTTAGAGGATTCAAGGGAGTTTATGTTCTTTAGGGTCTCTGTATTAAGAGTATTGCAGATAAAACAGTTATAATAACTACTATTTTTAAACTAGTACTCTTCTGGGTTGGTTTGTTTGTTTTTTTTTTTTTTTTTTGGAGACACGTTTATGCCTCACCTTCTGTGATGCTCAGTAGACAGATGGAGAGGAGCATGCCTCTAAGAGCTGAGGTTTTTTTTGTTTGTTTTTTCCTACAAATCTTAAACTGCTTAACAAGTTACTTCTTGTCTTCTGTTTCATTATCCTCCTCAAGTAACTCTTTTGTCCTTTTTTGCCTCAGAAGGAATGATTTATTTCTAAAACATGTACAGGGTGTCTTTATGCTTTTGTTCAGAGGGATGTATTTCTGATAAGAGGTTGATCTACCACTGTGTTAACTTGGCATGTGATGTCACCAGGAGCTTAAACTGCAAAACTTCTTGAAGCTGATAAAGGTACTTTTTGCTGTCAGAAGCAAGGAGTTGGACCACTCAGCATCAGTGACAATATACTCTGTGGCTGCTCTCTGACGATATTCATCTCAAATAGATGGGGAGACCACTCTTTCACACACCAGTGTTTTGGAGTGGTAAAGCTGACTAATCTGGAGCTCAAGAAAGCTGTTGCAGAGGCTCACAAGATGATCACGTTTCTGCTTTCGCATCAGTTCAGTCACCTGTAGCAACAGCATACTAAATGGTAGTCAAAAGAAAGCATGCATGCATGCATGACCTTCTTTGCTCTTGGTACTGGTTTGGAGCATTGCCTTGTCTATGGCAATCATGACTGACTTTAGCCCCAAAGCTAGCAGGTTCACCATTTCTTTACTGAGCAGTAATGACTCTTTGCCTGTAAACTTCACATTTCCACTATTTTTGAGAAAGCTGTTCCTGATATGATGACCACTTGGCCTCGAGGCTCGATATGTGTCCTCTCTGATTCAGTAATATATTTTGATCCTAGTTCCTATTTGACACTGAGAAAGATTAAGGGGGCCCTTACCTCTTTTCAGGTACTAATCATCAGAAATGAATAAATTATAGTCTTATTAAAGTCCTTTTTTTGAATGGAGCTTTACCTGCTTATAAGAACATGTTAAATGTAAGTGTAAACTGAGGTTTTTCAATTCCAACAATACACAGAAAGTTGAAATGAAAAAGAAAGTTTGTATGTGAGGGAGGGATGTTAAATGCCAGTCTTGAAGTTCATGTTGAAGTATTCCTTTAACTCCATTAATAGCTGGCGGCCTTACAACAGTCCCTTAACTTATTGCAAAAAGATAAAGATTATCTTAATCGCCAAAACATGGAGCTTAGTGTTCGCTGTGCGCATGAAGAAGATCGTCTTGAAAGACTTCAGCTTCAGCTAGAGGATGCCAAAAAAGCTAGAGAAGAGATGTACGAAAAATACGTTACATCCAGGTAAGAGGTTGTGTTCACTTCTGTCAGTAGACAAATTACTACTTTTCCCTCGTTTCTTGGACAAGTCTCACTTAAAAATTCGTAACTTTAGAAGAGCTAATCCATATCTGTGTAACTAGAAACAGTAAAAAAGCTTCTGTTTTTTCTTTATTTAAATATGTATTTATATACTGGGAAAAACTGCTTTAAATTTTTTTCAAGTTTTGGTACACTACCGTAGCAGTGAAGAAATCCATATTGTAAGTTTATGGGTGCTATTTTCTTACGTATATATAGAAATTTTCTGAAGTAGTGGAGATTTAAAAACAAAAACAAAAAACAAAACAAAAAACCCCGTTATATTAAGCACATATGTTGTACTTTTTTTCTGTATGTGTTTTTTTTTTTTTTCAAGTTAACTTTATTTAGAACAGGGATATTAGAAAGACATGCTTCAAACATCTCTGGAGAGTAAAATATGTTTAATTTTCAGATGTGTAAAGTAGGACATAGTATGCAGGTAATAACTTTCATATCAGCTGTTTGAGCAATCACTTTTTAATATCTCAGGTTCAATTGCACATTCTTTAATGATAGCCATGAGAAATTAATTGATCATTATGTGCTAGAGAAGTGCTTTGCTAGTACAGCTGTACCTGGAGTTTTGATATTTTGGCCAATGTAGTAGTAACGCAGTTCATAAGAAATTCCTATTTTTTGTTTCTTTCCAGAGACCATTATAAAACAGAGTATGAAAACAGACTGCAGGAGGAATTGGAACAAATAAGACTGAAAACAAATCAAGAAATTGAGCAGCTTCGAAGCACCTCAAAGGAGATGTATGAGCGTGAAAACAGGTAGGTAAGATGTAGGAAACAGTCTAATTAGGGCAGAAATGGCCAAATGTTTTCTTTTTTTTAGGCACAGACTGGTTGACTGGCTTTGTGAGAGATGATCAAAATGTGGGAATTTAAACTTAATTACAAAACTGATAACTTTATAAAAAACATGAAATTATATTTGTACAGATAGTGTTCTCTTTCTGTTGAAATAATGATTGACATTTGACATTGTTAATGAAAAGAATGAATTATTAAAATTCACCTTCAAGATAAACGTCAGTGATGTTGAGCTTATTCTGTATGAATTAATGAGATTTATCTGAATATGTTAGTTTACCTCTCATAATAGATGGACAATAGTCCTGAAACTTTCAGGCCACTAGAAAGGAAGGAATTGATTCAGAAGGTAAAGCTGGAAAATTGATGGAAAAAATCAAAACTTTTATGCCTTATAAACATAAATCTATTTGGGATTGTTTACAGCATTATAATTTAAACAATACTGATTATATTATAATATAATCTATTATAAAATAGATTATTTTTAAAACTATTATAAAATCCTTCTTCAAGAAGATCCTAGTCCTAAAAACTGCATACTGAACTTTGTGTACGTTCTTGTTTTGAATTACATGGAAGTGTATGCAGTGTTAGGCACACATGTAAGCCCTTAGGGATCTAAGCGCTTGGACTTTTGGCACTATAATTCTTTTCAAGTTTTCTTTTTGTTGCTGTTTTTTTTTTTGTCATAACATGTTCCTTTAAAATGGAAGGAGCAGTTAATGACTCATTAACTCATCGTAGATCTCTTGAAAGTTCCTTATGTGGAGAAGGAAATGACTATAGTAACAAGGTATTTGTGGCATCAGCATCTCTTCTTCTAATAGGTGGTTTATGTTATTACTCTGAAGAAGGAAAAATGAGGAACATGACTTCCGCTGTCTGTCTTCCAGTCAACTGAAAGGTTCTAATTAAAAAAAAAAAAATTACCTCACTTTAGTTTTGCAAGTGTGAATAATATATGTGTGTGTGTGCGCGCGCGCACATCTGCACCACTTCCTGTATGCAAAACAATGTTGAATTACAAAGAATGATTTTACTGTTGGTAGA